CCGTGACTCGGAGGACCCCAGCCCCTTGCAGGCGCCGTCAACCCGAAACACCGAGCCTTCAAACCACCCCATCCTGAGTCCCAGACCCTGCCAGCCTTCCCTGGCCTCCTCTCCACTGTCAACACACAACAGTCCCAAGGCTGACTTCAAACACCGTTCCACATCTCCTCCCCAGGCAGACCGTTGCAGCGACGGGAAACACAGGAACGTGAAGAATGAAGGGTGAGAATACAATAAAGATTTCCAGCAATTATTATCTGCTCCATAAGAGAGAGGCTCTGCACCGGCTGCCCACAAATCTAGGTGCCTCAACCTCGGAGGGCTGTGTACCCTGGGAGGCCAAAGACCCTGGGGTACGGCCCTCGGATCACCCTCTTTGGGAAGGGGTCTGTGATCGTAGCCAGTTACATCCCACCTTCACTGATAACCAATTTCCTGCACAGAGCCAGCAGCTCCTAACTTTTAGGATGAGCACCAGCTGATAAAAAGCTGTTGAGCAGAATCCCAGTTGATTTTATTTTCCTCTTGGCACTGTAGGCTAGAACGCCAGTGAGGAGGGAGCAGAGGGAAATGGTTTCAATTAGCAAGATGAGCCTCGTGCCTGCTAGGATCACTTCTCAGAACACAGAGAACGGCCGTGGTCACAGGTTTTCTCTGAGGTAGGAAGAAACCAAAGGCTGGGGAAAACCAAAGGCTGCATGGCAACGTCAGACCAGAAGCTGAAGCCAATTACAGTCTTTACCCTCTGCGGTGGCCAGTCTCCAAGACGGCCCTGAAGACTGGTGGCTCTGGGTGTTCAGCAGGAGGTGTTCCTCTCCCTCGCTGAACAGGAATGGCCGTGTACCCAAGAGCATGTTCCAGAAACGATGGAGTTTGACCTCCAAGAGGAGGCCATACACGGCACCATCGCCTCTGCCTTGTGCTCTCTTGCATCTTCTGTTTTGAGGGACGCCAGCTGCCGTGTCATGAAGGTACTCAAGCAGCACTATGGAGGGGTCCATGTGGCAAGGACCCGAGGCCTCCTGCCAACAGCCCATGTCACCTTGCCAGCCACATGGGTAAGCCACCTTGAAGCACTTCCTCCAGCCCCAGTCAAGCCTTCAAATGATCACAGCTCCAGCCACCACCTTGACTGCCACCTCACAACACTGCGCCAGAACCACTCAGCTAGCTGCTTTCACATTCCTGACCCACAGAAACCATGATATTGGACACATTTATTGTTGTTTTATATTACAACCTATGGTGTAATATATTTTGTGGCAAACAGATCAGTCATGCATCGTACCAAGTATACCATCCTACCTACCTATATCTACAAGAAACCAAGGTCATATTAAAAAGTATTCATCATCATTGGTCATCAGGGAAATTCATATCAAAACCACATTGAGATACCAATTCTTACACCTGTGAGAATGGCCAAAATTAACAGGACAGGAAACAACACTTCTTAGAGAGGATATAGAGAAAGGGGAACCCTCTTATACTGTTGGTGAGAATGCAAGTTGGTGCAGTCACTTTGGAAAACAGTGTGGAGATTCCTTAAGAAATTAAAAATAGAGCTTCCCTATGGCCCTGTAATTGCATTACTGGGTATCTACTCCAAAGATACAGATGTAATGAAAAGAAGGGCCATCTGTACCCCAACGTTCATAGCAGCAATAGCCACGGTCACCAAACGATGGAAAGAACCAAGATGCCCTTCAACGGACGAATGGATAAGGAAGATGTGGTCCATAATCACTATGGAGTATTATGCCTCCATCAGAAAGGATGAAGACCCAACTTTCGTATCAACATGGACGGGACTGGAGGAGATTACGCTGAGTGAAATAAGTCAAGCAGAGACAGTCAATCATCATATGGTTTCACTTACTTGTGGAGCATAAGGAATAACATGAAGGACATGGGGAGATGGAGAGGAGAAAGGAGTTGGGGGAAATTGGAGGGGGAGATGAACGACGAGAGACTGTGGGCTCTGAGAAACAAACGGAGAGTTTGGGAGAGGGTTGGGAGAATGGGTGAGCCTGGTGGTGGGTATTAAGGAGGGCACGTATTGCATGGAGCACTGGGTGTGGGGCATAAACAATGAATCTTGGAACACTGGAAAAATAAAGTAAAATTAAAATAAAAAAATAAATTAAAAAACCCGACTTCATCCCTGGTGGGAACCCTTGCCAGAATCTCTTAAGTAAACAGTCTTCTCCTTGCTAGAGTATCAGTACCTCCTGATATCAATATCCCCTGCCTGGATACTCAGAGGCAGAAAACCACCGTTCCCCTGTTCCTCTATATCATCTTCAACTATTGTAGTAAAGCAAACACGCGCATACGCGTGCATATACAAACATTCACACACACAGAGCTTTCTCTTAAGCCTGAAAAATCACTCAAGCACTGGGAAGATGCACTTTTTCCCCAGGAAGGACTGGATGCGCGGAATGTTTTAGAGTACCATTTATTCACGCTGTCTCCGAATGGACAGATGGAGGGGGCAGTGTGGGAGGGTACAGCTGACTACTGAGAATTGATAGCTGTCTCTGTTCTCCTCTGCTAGTCATAAAATTCTGAGCTGTGTGAGGACCAACAGGAGAGGAAAGCCAATGCCGCGGTGTCCATGCATTCCTGCATTCATTTAAATATTTCAGGATACAATTTTCTCCCTTACTCACTTTTACCCAACCTGTTTGTGTCCCCAGATGAGGAAGAGGGTCTTTAATATAAGGCAAAAACAGAGAATTTGCAAGCATCATAGTATGTCCATATTATGCTAGAGGCAGCCAAGACAGAGAAATATTTCCTTGCTGTGTATGTGTTCAACTACGAAGAACCTGAAAGATGTGAGGTTTCCACTTTAGAGTTAGATTAAATACTGGGAGCTCCTTGCCCTCCAAGATGGGGGTCGGGAAGAGCGCTCAGAGCCTAGAGGCAGGTAGCATTCTTCCAGGCTACAGGTGGCCACGAAGGCAGAGGCAAAGGGGAGAGAGAGCACTCAGAGTGGGGAATAAAGCATGGCCCAGAAGAAAGAAATCAGGCAGAGAAGGAACTCCGGAATGTTCACCAGAGTGGATCTGTATGGGCTGAAACCTGGCCTGGTGAGAAACATGTTTCCCCATCTTTTTAACTATGTGTTCATTTTTTTTTTTCATTTCTGCCAAAGGCCTCTACCTGTCTGTTCTTCCAAGTGTTGAGTCACACCTGAAGGGTTGCATAAGCAGTGAGATATTCTTGTCACTTGGCAAGTAGGACCATGAAGGTCCTGGGGAGAGTCAGGGCTGATCACAACCTCAGTCTGGGGAGGCAGTTTAGGGACACGTTCTTATGTCTCACTCTCCCCTGTCCCTGGACATCTTCTAGAACCAGGTCCTGCCTCTCTGCTCGTCTTCATTTATGCAACTGCTCTTGATGGGCTCCTCCTCACCTGTGATTTCACCCACCAGCTCTGATGGATAATAAATCTGGACGTCCAGCCCCAGCCTCTTGTCCACGATCTGCCCCTGCATGTAGCTGGGCAAAGACTTGCCTCCCTCTCTCAGTTGTCTGACCCTCACCTCACACTCAATGCGCCCAACTCAGAATTCAACTCCACACAAAGACTTCTCTTCTCCATGATCTTATCCCTGCCATTCGGGAACCCTGGGATCATCTCAAGTCTTCTCTTCGCTCAGGCCCTAAAACCATTCTGCCAATGAGGTCTGAGGTTGCTCCCTTCAACCCAACGTCTAATGACTCAGCCATGCGCACTGCCTCTACTCCATTCAAACCCATCGTGACAAGCCTGGAACACCCCTTTTGATCCTTTGTCACTTCTGGCCATATTTCAAAGTTTGAAGCAAGTACCTCCATTTCCCCAAGTCTTATCCAACCCCTCAAGATCACATCTGTCTCCTTTCTGGGACTGCTATTCATTCTCCTCAAAAAAATAGTTATGGACGATCCATTGTGTACACCATGTGAGGAGCTGAGGATGCCTACAAATGATCAGTCTAGGAACCGTCACACCAAGAATCGCTTCTGTGTTTTTTCTCTCTTCAGAGTGTTTCCCCACCCAAGTTCTTAAATAGCCAGGGCTGTGTCTTCAATGTCTTTTGTGAAAGCCACAGTGACAGACTGCAGAGCCCATAATGTGCTCTTACCGAGTGCTTATTGGTTATATGCAAGATGGTAGCAGAGCAAGACCAGAAATACATGTCAACTGCAATGTTTACCTAGATTAGAGAATTATCTTTGGCTAAGAAAAAAAAAAAATCAAGAAATTAAAGAAACCGCGCTGTATTGGAGTGGTGTTTTACATGCATAACCAACAATTCAATTTAACATGACAAAATATTCCACTCAAATTTTAAAAACAGTGGTTGATAACCCGTTTCCCAAATTCCATAGTCTTGAACTGAGAGTCACATATTAAGACCAAAGAACTAATATAAAACTGATTCATAGCATCTTAATAATTTGAACGTAGATATTTGAAATGTCCCAAGAGATTTTACAAGACAGAAATAGGAGGAAATCGAGCAACATCAAAAACAAATTCTTAGGTAAAACCATTCTGTTCTATTAAGGACTAGGGTATCGATAGGATCTAAACACATGAGACAACCCGGCCATCCTCTCAGCAAAAGGATGTCTTAGAACCAGGGATAGAACAGGGCTTAGGCAATACCAATGGCATACTTTCTAAGGATCCCCAAGAAAGAAACATTTGTGACTCAGAAGTGGAGGAATATCATTTCCCCCAAATGTAAAACTATTTCTGGTATAAAGAAAAATTAGGGAGATAGTCTGCACATCCAAACCTCAAATGAGTATAGTTTTGATACTTTGTTCAGAGAATCTAGTACGGACCTCCACTTAGACTTCCGGTTCAAGGAACATATGTCACTCTAGCCCAGAAGAGATCATCACATGCTGAACAGAAGCTCAAGAATTCAGAGTCAAAAGTTAGTCCCAGGCACATGTCTACTGCCAAATTTAATTAAAAAAAAATTTGTACTCACCTGCCAGAATATGCTATCTATTGTGTTTCCAAGAAAACCATCGCGACCTTCTGAAGACACCAGTTTGGGGCCAAGAATTGTCATGAATTCATCAAAGTCCACCTGGCCATCCCCTGGAAGAAGAAAATACCAATGTTGAAATGTTGAAACTGACCTGCTGCACCTGATGAAATAAACGTCACTGCACCTTTCTTTATCCCATGACCTCAATGGGTGAAGAGCTGGTGGCATCAAAAAAAACTGCCCCACGTTCTTAAATACCACGAGGAACACAAGATACTGGCAGTATCAGTACATCTAATACCACACATTCCGAGTTATTTGCCAGTATTTCCACATCTAAATGCCCAACCAGCACTCCCCCCCACCGATTTAAATGGCCACCCCTCATACCTGCTGTACCTTTTGGACGCAAACTGCCTACCAGTGCACGTGACAGACGCAAACCACCTAGCAGTACACGTGACAGAAAGTGCAGCTTTACTCTGCTCTTCCTTCCTCCTGTCACTCACACATACACTGAGACACCAAATCCTTCATCTCTTCTATGCCTGTGCCTGCTCTACCCCCCTGGTCACTTCAATCTCCAGTCCCTTCTCGAAAACTGTGGTGGGAAAACGTCTGCAAGGATTAATGTACCTAGTGATAACTACAACATTACTAGCGTAGTGGCTGTCTGCTCTCACGCTCTGACCTTCACACTCTCTCCCACACAGAAGTTTGCCTCCCCAAAAGCATAGCTGATGATGCTTTATAAATGTCCATGGCGTCTTTGACCCAACATAAGGAAACCACTTCAAGATGGCATTCGAGTCCCACTATATCCTTCACTGTCTTTTGCTCCCCACCTCTGAACAAAATGCCCTGCTTTTGCCAAACCTCATGCCCCTGTACATGCTGTTCCCTCCATCCAGGATGACTTCCCCACTTGTCTACCTGATGAACACCATCTCGTTCTCTAAGATGGAACTTAGATACCGTGCTCTTTTCGGTTTTTCTTTCTGACCCTCATCTTACTAGCCAGCGTTGTCTCTCTCTCTACCCTCACGTGCGTCTGTCATAGAACTTACCAGCCTGTATCTCAGCCACGGGCCTGCATGCCTTTTCCACACCTGCACTGTGAGCTCTGCAAAGTCAGGGACCCAGTCTGAAACTTCTTTGTACATCACCCACAATGGCGGGCACTCAGCACGTACTTACAGAATGAATGAATGATACCCCTTGCTTGTTTTCCCTTTGCTCAGCTCTGCATCTTTTATCTGACACTAGATGAAAGTCTAGTGTCAGATCTATCTTAGATCTGACACTAAAAGTTGAACTTGAGCCAACTTGGACGAAAACAGACCTTCAGGGTACTGTCCAAGCCTCCATGACTCATCAGTGTGGCATTCTGCGCCCTTAGAACTGCTCTAGAGGGCGTCTCCACCAAGAGCGCACCACATGTTGGCCCAGCTGGTGCAGACAGCCCAGGTGTCTGCACACAGGTTTGCCAAAGTGCGCACACATCGATCAACTCCCAGAGGGCATCCGCCTTCAAACAGCCCTCATTCAAAACCTGCTTCAAAAAGCTGAGCAGATGTCATCATCAAGATGCCAATAATTTAGAAAAGAAGTCCAGAAACATATTGCAGTATAGATTAAAAAAACCTGAGGGGGTAAGGGAGGAGTGACAAATCAGTGGGAAAGGAAAGATTCAGCACCAAATGGGTTGGGCCATCACTGGGCTACTGAAGGGGACTGGTTTACCCCTCACCGTTCAACAGGATAGAGGATCTAAAAGATCACCCTCAAAATAAATAAATTAATGAATTAAATTCCACCTTCAAATATTAATTTATTAAATCCCATCCTCACTGGTCATCATGAGAAAGCTAATCAAGCAAAAGTGAGGTACCATCCTTCCTCTCAAATTAACAAATACTTCTAGAAAGAATGCTGCTCAATGTTTGTAGAGATACAGGGAAGAGATGGGCTTTCTTATGCCTTCCCGGTACACTCGTCCCAGATACCAATGGACAGTATTTAAGATGCTATAACATGCTGATTCCTTTTGACCTTATAACTTCACATTTTTAAGAAAAATATAAGGCAAGGGAACTGCCTTACATTTGCCCCCAGTCATCCAGTCTCTGTGAAAGTGGGAAATTGGAAGGTGTAGGAAAAGGAGAAGGGCCCGTCTTCCTGGCATTCACACTGAGCTAGCTCCGTGGGGCTCTGAGTCTCAGACAGACACACACTTGTTAAACATTGGCACTGACCCTCGGCTCACCCCAAATCAGCCCGGCTCATCTGGAGCTAGATGGCCAGCACTCTCAGCCTAGAGTACACATTCTCCATAGAAACAGTATCACCCTCAATGAGGTGAAAATGGATTCCTGGGAGACAGACAATCTTAAATACACAATGGTTTGTGGCTCTCCTTTGGGCCACAGGACATAAACAGATGTACAGTATATCTGTGCTATTAAAATTTCACAGCGCAAGGCAACTAGAGAAACCAATGTCTTAAAAGGCTCCTAGTGGTGAGGTAGGAGGAGGAGGACGGAGGTCCAGAAACAGTGGGCAGGAACATGCCCCAAGTATTATGGATGCTCTTCTCTAGCCCTCCGCTTGGAATGTTGTTCTATAAAGCAGAGGGCATCATCCCAAATGTCTGTTACCCATGGCGACATCTAACAGTTCACAAAGGCGAGGAAGCTCAAGGGCATGGATCACGTTCCATGATGTCCTAATGAGACCTTAACTAAAATCTATCCACCAAGCTGCATCACTTAAGCTCCCGGCTATAGTGTAGTGAGTAATGCTTCCTCTCATTTGGGGATCTAAGGGGGAGATGGTCAAAGCCAGGAGAACAGGACTATCTTTGAACAGTCCACCTTCCAGGTAGGAGGAGAGAGGCCACTCACCTCTCTGAAACCTCCCCCAGGAGCACAGTGGTCTAGAACTGGTGTACTTCCAGGGTCCACATGGAGCTGCTGTCAAAGTCACTGGGGACTGTTCACAGATGGGCCCTTGGCTGAGAACACCAAACTGAAAGCTGACATGCAGAAATGATGGCCCCCATGAGGGGAGCAGCCCGCTCACTCCTCAAATGCTTGGCCAGAGAGAAAGTTCTGGGCAAAGACTGCTCAGGGCCCTATCGGAAATGCCAACTACAGTCAGTGCACAGTACAGGCGTCTCACCACAGACTCAGCTGGTGGGAGAATTTGCTTCTTACTATTTCATAAAGGACTCAGGAACTTCAGACGTTTTTGTAATCAAAATACGATCCCCCTAAAAGGGAGGAGGGGCAAGATGGTAGAGGAGTAGGAGACTGAAATATCCTCAGGTCTCAGGAGTTCAGCTAATTAGTTATCAAACCATCCCCAACACCTACAAACCCAATAGGAGATGGACGAGAAGAAGAGCAGCGATTCCAGGAGCAGAAAAGCGACCACGTTCCAGAAGGCGGGACTGGCCACACGTGGGAGGACGGACCGTCGGGGAGGGGCGGCTCCCGGCGGGCAGTGGGGCCGGAGCACAGAGTCAGACCGTATAGGCGTTGCTCCATGGGGGGACGTTGCTGCAGGGGTGGGGCCCTCACGGGGACAGCACGGTCTCAGGTCCCGCAGGATCACAGGACAGGGGTCTGAGGGTGGCAGAGCGCACAGGGACCGGAGCGGGGACGCGGCGGCAGAGACAGGGCCAAGGCAGGGCTCTCAGCTCGGGGTCCCCTTCACCCGGGACCGAGGCGCAGTCGGGCCACGGCTCGCCCCGCAGAGACCCCACACGCGGCGGATGCGGGGACACTCACCGTCCTTCGCCAGGACGAGCGGGCAGGAGTGCGCAGCGGGAAGCTGCGGGTTTGTGGACTCCAGACGGGGCCACGCCAGAGACAGAGACACTCACTAGGTCACAGGCCGGGGAGCTTGGAACGCGGCGGAGACCAGGGACACAGAAGGGACAGACGGCTTTTCTCTGAGGGCTCACTGAGGAGGGGTTCCTGAGCTCTCAGCTCCTATAGGGCCAGAGACTGGGAGGCTGCCTTTTCATTCTCCTCCCAAGCTCTACGGAAAGCGCTCAGGGAACAAAAGCTCCCAGCAGGAACCCAAGCAGATGGAATTCCTCCTCAGGCAAATATTTTTGAGAATCACTGCAATGGGCCCCTCCCCGAGATCAGCAAAAACACCCAGCCAAGACCATGTTCACTGATCAATGAGAACTGGGGGAATCCAGAGCTAGGGGAAAACAACACATAGAACTCATGGCTTTCCCCCCCATGATTCTTTATCTTTCTAAGTTAAATTTTTAAAAATTTTTTTCTTATTCTATTTTTAAAAATTTCTCTTGTTTCCTATTTTACCTTTTTCTATTTTATCTTTTTAAAAATCTTTTTAAATTTTCACAGTTATAGTCATATTCTATCCGTTCATTGTATTTAACCTTATTTTTGTGTACATACAAGATTTTTTATCATTTTGGGATACAATTTCTTCTAATAGATCAAAATATACCCTAAATCTACTACATGGTTTTGGTCTAGTCTCCAGCCTGATCACATTCTTTCTTCTTTTTTTTTCTTTTTTCAACCAACGTATCTTATCAATTCCTTTTTTAGAATCTTTTTTCATTTTCATCTTTACAGTCATATTCCATCCCTTCATCGTATTTATCCTTATTTTTCTGTATTTATATAAGTTTTTCTTTCTTAAAAATTTTCAGAGGTAGTTTCTTCTAACAGACCAAAATACCCTACGCCCCCCAAAATTAAGTCTGTGGCTCTGTACTATTCACCAATCTAATATTTTCTTTTCCTTTTCCCACCCTTTCTTCTCCCCCTGGTTTCGGGTTTCTTCTGATTTGATTAGTGCACATTTTTCTGGGGTGGTTGCTACCCTTTAAGTATTTTGTTCTCTCACTCATCTATTTTTATCTGGATAAAATGAAAAGGCAGAAAAAGTCATCTGGAAAAAAAAAAAAAAAGAACAAGAGGCAGTACCAAAGCCTAAGGACCTAATCAATACGGACACTGGTAATATGTCAGAACCAGAGTTCAGAATGATGATTATCAAGGTGCTAGCTGGAGTCAAAAAAAGCATGGAAGATATTAGAGAATCCCTTTCTGGAGAAATA